AAGACTTCAAAGCTTGCCCCTATAGTGACACATTTCCTTCAACAAGGTCACACCTCCTAATACTGCCATTGCCTATGGCCAAGCATCCAAACACATGAGCCTATGGGGGCATAACTATTCAAACCACCACAGTATTAAACTGAATTTCATATAGGTACCATACAGTTGGGTCATGATTACTCTTACTTACTTTTTAGTTTTATCCCTTTGGCCAATCTGTATCTTTAATTTTATTTATATATTTTTATTTTAGAGATAAGATGTTGCTACACATCCCAGGCTGACCTTGAACTCATTGTGAAGACTAGATTATCCTCAAATTTCAGTCTTTTTGTGTCTGCCTTTTAAGAACAGAGATTATAGGCATGTGCCACTAAGCTTAGTAGCCAACCTACACATTTCACTTGAGAACTTAATTCACTTAGCATTTTAGACTATTACTGATGATAGTGGTCTATGCTTGTCATTATATTAATAGTTGTCAAATAACCTTCATTCTTGCTCTTTCATTGTTTGTGTATCACCTGGTATTTTCTGCAGTGATTCTGTTTAATTTTTTTCATTTATGTGTCTGTTTTAGCAGTACATTCCGCATTTTTACAATGGCAACTACCATCCTATCATATCTCGATTTAGCATTCATTTAGACATCCCCTTAATGCTGGTCTGCTGGAAGTGATTTTCTTCGATTTCCTTGCCTAGGAAAAAAGATTTCTCCTTCATGTACAGAGAGGAGCTGTGTTGGGCCAAGATCATTCAACACACTAGATATTTCATTCTTTTCTGGAACAGACAGCATCTTCTAGAAATATACCTGGGTCTACTGATGATTCCCTAGTTGCCTTTCCTGTTGCTGTAATAAGTTGACAGACACAACTTGAGACAAAGGGTTTATTCTGCACACAGATGCAGTATGTAGTTGGTCATGGTGGGGAAGTGAAAGTGACAGGAACTAAAATGTGTCTGGTCTCATTGTGTCCACAATTAGAAACACAGTGAGGAATGCTTGTGGCTCAGTTTTCCTTCTTTCTATGAAGTTCAGGACTCAAGGCCAGGGAGCCTCTTATGATAGGTCTACTGAACATAATCTTCACAGGCATTACCAGAAGTGAAATAATCCCATACAGTTTTGTTTGGAGGCCTAGCACCTATGTGATTCCAGCTCCTGTCAGTTTGAAAACACGAATGACTCCATCTATTATGTGAGTTGATATCTTTTTTGCTTGTTGATTTTAGAATTTTCTCTCTTGATTTTGGAGAGAACCTCTTTGATTTGAATTTAATTAATATTCTGTGAGTGTCATGGATCTGGATACTCATCTCTCTTTCAAGAATTGTGAAGTTTTCTGTTATCATTTCACTAAATGTGTTTTCTGTTTATTCCTTCAGATCTTCTGTGGCATTCTGGTAATGTAAATATTTGGTCACCTAATGATTACCCGCAGATGTCACAGGCTTTTTCTCTCCTCCTCCCCTGGCAAAGACTTCCATCTCTGTTAGATTTCTCATTCTGGCTTTCCAGATTCCATTGTCTCTATTCTCTTGTCACTTGCTGAACTTCCTTAAGATTTATTATTTTGGTTATCATTTCAGGAGGTTTGTAAATTTTCTCTTTGTTTTTTTTGTGATTGGAGAACTAGTGGTTTTCATGACTCCTTGATATTTTATGTTTCTTGTGCACCTGCATTGATATCTGTGCATTTATGATAGCAGTTGTCTCCCCCTTTTTTCCCTACAGAGACTTTTGTTGTGTGTGTTTTGGACTTGTGCTAGTGTGCTGGCTATGTATTTTGGCTATGGGCGTTGTGATTTTTTTGTTTCTTTACTATTTGCTTCAGTTATCTGGGCTGTAGGTATTTGTTACTACAGTTCTGTGGTATGGTTTTCCTGGAGCAAGGTTGCCATCTGATTGGCTGATGGGCTAGCTGTGGGTGCTCCTGCAGGGAGAGTAAGAGGTTATATATACAATTAAAACATATTGCATACATGTATGAACTTATCAAAGAATAAATAAAAATAATTTAAAAAATTATTGCATAAATGAAAAGGTATTTGTGGCTTTTGTGCACAAGTACACTGTATTTGCACCATCCCTTCTCTTCTTCCTCCAACTCTGACCATCCCCTTTTTAATTAATGACCTCTCCTTCTATGTATGTAATTATCCAGTTCAGGTTGACCTAATTGGATGAGTTTAGGATTTCAGTACTGTCCCTGAAAAACAACAGCAAAGAGAACAAAAACAAAAGCTAAAAGTTGTTCTCCCTCCCACAGCAGTATTGATGACCTGTGGTTCTTCATTTAGGGTTGGGTCCTTGTGGTGAGTTGACTAGTATGGTTTTTGTACATCTTGTGCAGGCATCCATGTTGATGAGAGTTCACGGGGACAACATCCTTGTCCAGTCCAGAAGAAACTATGATGGAATAGTTGTTCTGGACTTTAGGATCTTACACTCTATCCACTTCCTTTTCTGCTGTGTTCCCAAAATCTTAGATATAGTAGTTATAAATATCTCATTTGGAGTTTGGCATCTCATGTCACCTTTTCTCTGCATTTAACAGGTTCTGTGTCTCTCTAACAGTCTCCATCTGCTGCAAAAAGAAGCTTCTTTGATAAGATGTGGGAGCTGCACTAACGTAGGGGTATAAGGATGAGTGTTCAACAGACTATAGTTAGAAACAATCTTACTTTAGAAATATAGTAGTAGCAGGCTCTCCTCTAGGACTTATATCTCAGACATGAATTCCCTCCAACTGAGTGGACTTTAGGTTCAATTAGAAAGCTATTGTCTGTTCCTATAACACAATTGCCACTATTGTATAATTGAGGATATATTATTCATCCTGTCAATGCTACAGCTCCTAAGCTTTACAGTGGATAGGACATCTGATACTTTGTCTCATTTGGGCACAAGAATAGCACCTCCCAACACTATGAGAGCTCCCAGGGAGGAGGCTGTTATATCAGTTCCACCTTGATTGCTCCAAACCTGTGACCAAAATGTGTGGTATCTCCAGCAATTGGGTGTTACCTTCATGTTTTGGTAGGTAACCAAGGCCAGTGATATATCCTATATTGTTTTGGATGTCTCTTGAATACCACTGACCAATAACTTGAATGGAAGTATTACCTTCTGTAGCAGTGGGTTTCTTTTAGACAATCCTTGGCATCTTCGATATATGTATTGTCCTGCCATGTGGGGGTAACTGCATTGAAAATATCATCTGTCTGTCTGTCTGCCTGCCTGCCTGTCTATACTTGTGTTTTATGTGCATGTTAAAAGCATAGAATACCAACGTTTACAAACATTATTATCTTAAACTCATCTCTGAGGCTGAGCCAGAAAATATTGATCTTAAGTAGGCAATTTCAGATTGGGGTACACCAAAACATGATTAGAGAGAAATGTGGACTGCACTCTTTATGTAGATAACCTACAACTGGAGGTGGGGAGGTTGTCTAAGCCCATTTCTTCATCTTTTCAAACTACCTTTTGAGGACATATCTATGATTCTTCCATAAGGGTTTCCTGTTTTTGGTTGTTTGACTTGACAGATACTTTTGGTTTGTAAAGAAGTTCAGTAGTGCCAGAAATATTTAGTACTTTGCCTAGCAGAAACCTGGACATAAGTTCTTCAAGGGTGTTTTTGTCCCAGAGAGTTTGTGTACCAGGCCTTCTCTTTTTGGGCCACCAACCAGCTCTCAAATCATGACACAGTATTAAAGAGCAGCATCTGAAGAATAAGGCCTAAGAACTCACAGAAAACACCAAACGAAGGCAGTACTTAGAATATTCTAGAGGCCCTTATGTCCCTCCTTTTGCCTATCAGACCACTGAAACAATGGATCATGTGGACTTTCCTGGGAATCTCAGAAGTGGAGAAGGAAAGGTTGAAGCTTGGGCCACTGGAAGAACTTTCCTCCCAGGAATTGATTTTAAAAAGTTCTGATAACTTTCCAAACTCTCCTGCAGGAAAGACTGGAGCTAAAATGATAACTCTGCAGGTGCAACCACATTTTGACCAGTCTGCTTTTTCACAAATGTTTCTTGCTCCCCTGTTTAAACCTAAATTTCATGCCAAGATCAGGAAGCTGGACCTAGTTCTGTTACCGTTCCTCTGGATAGAATCTTTCATTGTCTCTTTTAGCAGGTGTTCTACTTTGCTTTGGTTTTGATTTGTTGTGATAAAGCATTCCGAACAAAAACAACTTGGGGAGGAAAGGATTTTTTGGCTTCTGTTTCCCATCTTGGTCCATCACTGAAGAAAGCCTGAGCAAGAACTCAAGGCAGGAACCTGGAAGAAGGGACTGAAGCAGAGACCATAACAAAACACTGCTTGCTCCTCATAAGGATAATACCATTCACAGGGGGCTGGGCCCTCTTACACAATCGTTAACCAAGAAAATGTCCCATAGACTTGCTATAGACCAATGGGATGGGACATTTTCTCAATTTAAGTTCCCATTTCTGAGAGGAACTCTCTAGCATGTGTCAAGGTGACAGAAAAACTAATAGGGGTAACTGGTCTACCAGCCTTGTTGAAAGGGGTGCAAGAGCCCAGGCTTTGGCTGGAACAACTGTGGTAACAGGACTTGGTAAGTATATTATTTGGAAGGTATAATACTGGGAAAGTATATTACTTAAACACTTACGTCCAACTTTCAGCTTGAGCTAGGGCATACTATTTGGTGGCTCATCAGTTCAACCCTCGACACAAACACACAACCACTAAGACTCAAAAGGTTTTCCAGACCTTCAGGATTGGTCCCAGCTGTGGTCTGCAGAAGGCTGTTTTGGAGATGCCAAGGCTGAGCCAAGGCCCATTTCGTTCTGCATTTGAGGAGACTCCAGAAACCTCTGCCAAAAGCAGAGATTTTGTGGAGGGCTGGTGTGGCCACAGGCTCATCCTCAGGGAGGGAGGTTCGGGGGTCCGAGGTTTGGGGCTCCCAGACACCACCGCCAACTTTGGGCCAATCAGCGTGGCCCGGTGGCCCGGGCCCCCCCGCCGCTCCGGCCGCGCCTGCCCCAGCCAAGGAGGGGCCGGGCCGCAGGGAGCGGAGCAGGGAGGTGGGGATTCTGGGAGCAGAGCTCATTTCCTCCTCCCGGCCGCCCCTGGCCCGCACCTCGTCTCCACGTGCGGCGCCCGGGGCGCGCGGCCGAGGGGG